TAGTGGTGGTCGTCACGCTAGTGGTGGCTCAGCAGGAGCTTTTGCTGTTGGTGGTCGTCACGCCGGTGGTGGTTCAGCAGGAGGTTTTGTTAGTGGTGGTCGTCACGCTAGTGGTGGCTCAGCAGGAGCTTTTGCTGTTGGTGGTCGTCACGCCGGTGGTGGTTCAGCAGGAGGTTTCGCTGTTGGTGGTCGTCACGCCGGTGGTGGTTCAGCAGGAGGTTTTATTGGTGGTTCAACAGAAGGTTTTGTTGGTGGTTCAACAGAAGGTTTTGTTGGAAGTTCAACAGGAGGTTTTGTTGGTGGTAATCATGCTCCAGATTACAGTCTTAGTCGTCCAATTATTCCCATTGGTGGATCATTTGGAAGGGATTTCATTATCGGAGACATAGATGAGGATTTACTTCCAAGTAACCAAGGAGCCATACATTACTTACAGATCACCTGATCATACGCTGGCTAACGCTTTTCCAGGTACTGTAAAAGTAGCCTCTTCTGGAACAACTGACGAACACCATTATTAAACAAAATACGCAAGTCTTCTAGTTTATGACACAAGAGATTTAAACACGAGAGAGACTTGTTGGGAAAAAAATTTACTTAAGATAACTTTCTATTTCTCAGTTTAGATATATATAAATACTGAATTTACTTTTGTCAAATGTTTACCTGGCTTAAATCTAATATCTGCTATCATATGTTTTACTTTTACGTATATTGTTTTTTTTTGTTTTGTACACTGGTGCTTCAAATGGTTGTTTCGAAATAAACTGTAATATTATATTTTATATTTTACATTTTTCTTACAAACATTTAATTAGAGTCAAGAAGAAATTTCTTCAGATATACATTTGTAACACTTTATGTATTTAAATTGTGGTTTCATAACATTTTCACATCTATTTCAAGTGTGGTTTCATAATATTTTCTCTACCAGAGGTTTCTTTTCAACGAGTCATATCTTATAGCTACAGCGAATCTTAGTTTGGGAGTTGTTTAGAGAAGACAATAATTAAAACAAAGTTTGGATAAATGTTATTACTGTATCATGTGTGGCTTATCATCTGTTTTATATACGAAGTTATAAGTTATACCTTATAACTGGAGAGATAGATTATATGTGTATTAAGTTTTATTTTCATGTTTGGAGATTTTAAAATGATGTACATGACTGATCTATAGCACTACGGTGTACATGACTTATCTGTAGCACTACGGTGTACATAACAGATATATTACACTATGGTGTATATGATTGATCTATAGCACTACAGTGTACATGAATGTTCTACAGCACTGCAGTATACATGACTGATCTATAGCACTACGGTCTACATGACTGATCTATAGCACTACAGTATACATGACTGATCTATAGCACTATGGTCTACATGACTGATCTATAGCACTACGGTCTACATGACTGATCTATAGCACTACAGTGTACATGACTGTTCTACTAAACAACAGTATACATGACTGATCTATAGCACTACGGTCCGTCTTTCATTGTGAACTGTGTGTAGTGCTTCTATTGCCCTTCATCCACCTAAATAACTTATTTCAACATAAGTATCGATATTATTTCCAATGTTTTATTGTACATATTACTGCTGAGAAGATGTTGAGGTGTTTAAATATTATCAAAATTGTCTATTTGTTGAATATATCTTAAACGACATACACATAAAGTGAATTTCTTATATTACAGCTGAAACATTTAGTGAAATAGCTCTGTCTGCAGACAGTTATAAACTGTAGTGCAATAAATCAGTCATGTACACCGTAGTGCTATAGATCAGTCATGTGCACTGCAGTGCTATAGATCAGTAATGTGCACTGCAGTGCTATAGATCAGTCATGTAGACCATAGTGCTATAGATCAGTCATGTACACCACAGCGCTATAAATCAGTCATGTAGACCGTACTGCTATAGATCAGTCATGTAGACCATAGTGCTATAGATCAGTCATGTACACTGTAGTGCTATAGATCAATCATGTACACCATAGCGCTATAGATAAGTCATGTAGACCGTAGTGCTATAGATCAGTCATGTACCCTTCACCCACCTAAATATGCTTCTATTGCCCTTCACCCACCTAAATACGTCTTTCATTGTGAACTGTGTGTAGTGCTTCTATTGCCCTTCACCCACCTAAATACGTCTTTCATTGTGAACTGTGTGTAGTGCTTCTATTGCCACACACAGTTCATAATGAAAGCCGTATTTAAGTGGGTGAAGGGCAATAAAAGCACTACACACAGTTCACAATGAAAGACGTATTTAGGTGGGTGAAGGGCAATAGAAGCACCACACACAGTTCACAATGAAAGACGTATTATTGTTGTATGTCATTATTCAGAATTACATATGGCGGACCGCGAATAATATGATTTCACTTTTCTTTTATCACCAAACTAGCTGCATCTCCTGTCATATTTTTAGGAAGGGTGAAAAGTTGTTTGTAACTTACAGAAAGTAAAAATTTACTGATTTAAGAACATTTGTTGTATTTTTTAATTAACTTTTTGTTTGATAGGATAATTTTAACAATAACGTGATATCAGAAAGACGTCAAATGTCTTTATAGTATTAACGAGTGCAGATAGGTCTAACAGGAGTTAAGCCTTGTATTCTGATAATTTTGTATTTTAGGCGTACGGAATTATATTTTAATACTTTTAACATCACAATACTACTAAAACTAGTACATACGAAACTAAAACACTTTTTTTTTCTGGGAGAGGGGGCTAATTTAACCATATTCCATTTTAAGACAATTTTCTAACGTCTTTAATGTAAAATATTTATCCAAAGAAACTTATTATACAATACAATATCATATTTTGTAGTGTATCTTCATCTTACTTACATATTTATTATTATTATACTTCGTTATATAATTTTTTATAGATTTATTTCATAAAAGATGGTAGAATTTGAAACCAAGAAGGTTTTGTTATTTCAAGGTAGTAATTACTATTCGCGGCAAACATAGTGTTTTCATTCCATACATTTTCCTATAAATTTGTTTTTTTTTGTTTTTTAAATTGCGCGCAAAGCTACACGAGGGCTATCTGCGCTAGCCGTCCCTAATTTAACTAGAGGGAAGGCAGCTAATCATCATCACCCACCGCCAACTCTTGGGCTACTCTTTTACCAACGAATAGTATGATTGACCGTCACATTATAACGCCCCCACGGCTGAAAGAGCGAGCATGTTTGGTGGGACGGGGATTCGAACGCGCGACCCTCAGATTGCGAGTCGAGTGCCCTAACCACCTGGCCATGCCGGGCCCTTTCCTATAAATATCAGATATCCATGTGCACGTGTAAGTACAGAGCACGGAAAATGTCGCATCTGATTAAATAAAGGGTTATATTCACCCAACAACTATTTATAACAATCAGTTGATAAACATGGGCTGAAGAACAGCTCCGCCTTCAACCACACACGTTCTTCTTTAATGTTAGGTGACGAGAAAGAATTTTTAGCCTTAAATTATTACAAGGCGGTTTTAAAGTGTTACAACTAATTACATCTATATGCGGGTCACGTAGATACGGTTACAACCATTATATAAAATATTATCATTTGTATGTGGGAGTCATATTACCTACAAGGATTTACTTGTTACACTACAGTAAACTCGTGAACTAACACAGATCTTGTATTTCACTTCATGCTTTACTTGCTGAAACTGTATCAGGTCTGGAAAAAGAAAATCAAATGTTCGTTGTGCAACAATAAAGATCAACTTTCTAACAAAGCGAGTGTTTGTGGACGTGGATTAAACGGACGCTGTTTTACCAACATTCTCAGACTTGCTGTTGGAGGGTAAACACACGTTGCTTCTAACCAAAACTTTTATTAAATGTTCAGCTCATAAAATAATCCTTATAAAGTTTTCAGAATCACAGTTTTTGGATGCGTGTATAGTAACGATCCTAAAAACAACCTCATTACCATTGTTTAAAGTAAATGAGTATATTCATCAAATGATCCTACATTAATCTGAGACTCGTAGTTAAAGGTAAAATAGCATTTTCGTCAGGTAAGCCTACAACAGCCTCAGATCCGTACTTAGAGGTAAGAAAGTGTTTTCGTCAGGTAAGCCTACAACAGCCTCAGATCCGTACTTAGAGGTAAGAAAGTGTTTTCGTCAGGTAAGCCTACAACAGCCTCAGATCCGTAGTTAGAGGTAAGAAAGTGTTTTCATTAGGTAAGCCTCAGGTCCGTAGTTAGAGGTAAGAAAGTGTTTTCATCAGGTAAGCCTCAGATCCGTAGTTAGAGGTAAGGAAGTGTTTTCGTCTGGTAAGCCTACAACAGCCTCAGATCCGTAGTTAGAGGTAAGAAAGTGTTTTCGTCAGATAATACTGCACCAACCTTAGATCCGTAGTTAGAGGTAAGAAAGTGTTTTCGTCAGATAATACTGTACCAACCTTAGATCCGTAATTAGAGGTAAGAAAGTGTTTTCGTTAGATACTACTGCAACAACCTCAGATCCGTAGTTAGAGGTAAGAAAGTGTTTTCATTAGGTAAGCCTCAGATCCGTAGTTAGAAGTAAGAAAGTGTTTTCGTCAGATAAGCCTACAACAGCCTTAGATCCGTAGTTAGAGGTGAGAAAGTGTTTTCGTCAGATAATACTGCAACAACCTTAGATCCATTGGCAGATGTACGACTGTAATTTCGCCAGATAATCCTAATATCAAATTCAGTTTCGAAGTTATTAGTCTGGGCATTTTTTAATAGAATTATTTTAACAGCAACCTCAGATCCATTGTGAGATGGGTCAGAATTTTCTCCAGATTATCTTAATAAAACTTTGAATTCCATAATCAGGAGGGGGGTGGGGGCGAGTCAGGATCCGATTCTTTGAACGTACATCTAACCTATATGTACAAGTTTCATCAGAAAAGTGGATTATTTAAATTAATATTTAGCTAGGACGATTTAACATACCCTCATCTTAATACAAGACGGGAAAACAACATTGAAACCGTAAAATGTATTGTTTGTATTACATTAATTCAAATGAATACAAACTAAAACGTCCATAACCAGCTCCGAGCCCGAGTTGAATATCCTGTGAAATAAACGAATGTTACAATCTGGAGCTACTCTATCAATAAACGTACTGCGTTGATTAAAATATGGGAATTACAACTAACATTAGCAATCTAAGGGCGTGGTTACGAGAAAACGCGGGAAATGTGGCCTTATTAGCTTGTTTTTATTGTAGTTTTAAGTATTCCTAAGGTACAGTGACCTGAAGAAAAATGTCCTGTTTCAAAACAACTTACACTTTAAGAAAGTGAAACGTCCCGTTACACGCGGTCATAATTCTGACTACTTCTTAGTAAAAAGCCTTATTAGCTTGTTTTTATTGTAGTTTTATATATTCCTAAGGTACAGTGACCTGAAGAAAAACGTCCGGTTTCA